TACTACTGTGCCAGTTATATACCACTGGAATCATATGGAAACTGATAGGCTGTGATTGTTCTGGAAGGGACACTGGGTGGGAGGGTAATTTACTTTTTACTGTGTCCCTTCTGTACCTTTGGAACTTGATACTCATTTTATAGCTGCTGTCCATGAGTTTTAAGGATTAGATAAAAAGCTCCCAAATACTTCAGACATTTTGGGCTTTGGAACAGAGCATGTTGCTAAGAGGCCCAAGGACATTTTGACTTTTAGCCAAGAAATTGGCTACTTTTCTTTGGGGTCTTTTTACCCTAACTGCCTAGCCAATTAAGACTGCTGAAGCCAGCTATCTGAGAGCTAGCTTTAGCAGGTTCTGAGGATATAAACAGAATTGCAGCTGACACTCTAAAGGATATGTTGGGTTTTGATTTGTTTTGTGTTTATTTGTTTTAGTGTAGCCTTGTGAAATGGTTGTCAACTTGCCACAAACCAGACTCAACCGAGGAAGGGAGTCTCCATGAGGGGTTTTCTAGCTTAGGTTGGCCTCTGAGCATGTCTCTAGGGATTCTCTAAGTTGAGGCAGGAAGGCCCATCCATTGCGAATGGTGCAGTTCCCTGGGAAGGGAATACTGGGCTGTTGTTCATCCTTGCTCTCTGCTTCTTTACTGTGGATGCACTGTCACCAGCTGCCTCAAGTGTCTGCCTCTGTGATGTCCCTGCCATGATGGACTGTGACCTGAAGTTGTTGGCCAAATAAACCCTTTTTCCGTTAATTACTTTTGTCAGGATATTTTATCACAGCAACAGAAAAAGAAACTAAAGCACCATGGTTCATACTTCGGGTGGCAAATACCTTGGAACAGCCTCTTAAATCATGGGAGTTGGGGCTGGAAAGATGACTCAGCAATCAAGAGCCCTAGCTGCTCTTGGAGGACCCAGGTTTAGTTCCCAGCACCCACATGCCGACTCACAGTGGTCCATAACTCCAGTTCCAGGAGATCTAACTTCCTCTTCTAGCCTCCAGAGGCATTGCATGTACAGGTGCACTTACATACAGGCAAAACACTCATACACATAATAAATAACTTTTTTAAATGGGAGCTTCTCACAGCTTTTATGGATGATTTCCAACTGCCTGTTTCTTCATTGTTGCTCTAACAAACACCATGTTGCCCGAGAATTGTAGGTTAAGGAAACAAACCATGCCAGTGAGCATCCTCTGAGGAATCTGCTTGGAGACAGCTGTAGCAAAAGAGCCACCATCCTGTGTTTAGTAGAGTCTAAAAAGCAAACAGTGGTCTAGAGAGATGGATCAGTGGTTAAGAGTACTGACTGCTGTTGCAGGGGACATGGGTTCTGTTCCAGGCACCCATATGGCAGGTAACTCCAAGTCCAGGGGATCCAGTACCCTCTGACCTCCATGGGCATTGCAAGACACAGGTCCACTTACACACATGCAGGCACGATACTCATACACATAAAATAAAATTAAATATTTAAAAAGCAAATAGTGCTGGGCATGGTGGCTTGCACCTTTAATCCCAGCACTTGGGAGAAAGAGGCGGGCGGATCTCTGTGAGTTCAAGGCCAGCCTGGTGTACATGGTGAGCTCCAGGACAGGTGGAGCTACAGGGAGACCCTGTCTCAAAAAGACAAAAAAAAAAAAAATTAAAATAAAAAGCAAATAGCCAGGCATGGTATCGCACACCTTTAATCCCAGCACTTGGAAGGCAGAGGCAAGTGGATCTTTGTGAGTTTGAGGCCAGCCTGGTCTACATAGTGAGTTCCAGGACAGCTGGGGCTACAAGGAGACCCTGTCTCAAAAAGACCAAAAAAAAAAAAAAGCAAATAGAGAAGCGTTTACACATTTGTAAGAACTCTGATTAGAAGTTACTGCTTGGGGTGGGGGTATGCAATAAAAGGGGGCATTGGCAGTCATATAGTCCTTATTTGGGTCTTTTACCACATGTGGCCTGCCCACTGTCTATATATTCCTTTTCTCAGTGCCTCTACATGTCTGTGTCTGAAATGCTCGCTGCCCATGAGTAAGTCGGCCTGGCAAAAGCATCTAAGCCATTCATGCCTCTAATAGCAAGGATGAAAACAAGCTCACTCTTGACATTGCTCACCCTGTTAAACATTACAGATGCAAGCAAGAGAAAGCTGAGTGTGGTGTACGTCTGTAATCCAGCACAAAGGGGATGGAGGCAGGAGGATCAGAAGCTCCATGGTAGGGGCTGGGGAAATGGCTCAGTGGTTAAAGTCTTTGCCATACAAACATAAGGATTAGAGTTCAGATCCCCAGAACCCAGGTAAATGCCAGATGGGCATAGTAGCCTGCCTATAATTCCAGCCTTGGAAGGCAGACATAGAATCCCTAGAGCAAGCTAGCTAGTGAGAATAGCCACATCCGCAAACTCTGGTTTTGATTGAGAGACTCTCAATGAATAAAGTTGAAGAATCATCGAGAATAATTTCCAACATCCATCCTCCACATGCAGGCACACACAGGTGCATGCCCTCACACATGCACACCACACTCACGTGAAAATGGAAAAAGAAAAAGGTTCCAGGCTACCTTGGACTAGTATCAGTACTTTGTGTGTGTGTGTGTGTGTGTGTGTGTGTAATCAGGAATCATGGGGCTGGAGAGATAGCTCAGCGGTAAGAACACTGGCAGTTCTTGCAAAAGACCTGGGTTCAAATCCTAGCACCCACATATCAACTAACCATTTGTAACTGCAGTTCCAGGGGAATCCGATGCCCTCTTCTGACCTCCACACGCATTGCACAACATGGGTGCACTTCCATACATGCAGACAAAACATTCATACACATAAAAAAATAATCCTGGCACTCAGTAGACAGAGGCAGTCAGATCTCTGTGAGTTCAAGGCCAGCCTGGTCTACACAGAGATCTACACAGAGATAAACCTGCCTCTGCCTCCCAAGTGCTGGAATTAAAAAGGATGCACCACCATGCCCAACCTCACTTTTTAAAACTTTTTTTAATTTTTTTTAATTTTTGTGATTTTTATACAATATAGTTTGATGGTATTTAGATCCCCTCCCCTATCCACACCTCCTCCCACTACCCATGCCCAATTTAATATACCCTCATATGTGTATATGTATATACATATATATAATTATGTGTATTTGTGTGTATCTGTGTGTGGGTATGTACATGTGAGTACAGGTGCCCTTGGAGGCCAGAAGATCCCCTAGAATTATAAGGAATTGTAAACTACCCAGTGTGGGTGCTGAGAACTGAACTTGGATCCTCTGTAAGAGCAGTACACTCTCTTAACTACTGAGCCACATCTCCAGCTCTTCATTATTTACTTTATTTATTTGTTTGTTTGTTTGTTTTGAGACAGCATCTCACTATGTAGCTCTAGCTGGCCTGTAACTCACTAAGTAGATCAGGATGACCTGGAATTCACAGAGCTCTACCTGCCTCTGCCTTCTGAGTGCTGGGATTAAAGGCATGTGCCACCACCTGCCTTCAAAGTTAACCCCTTTACAGTATGTGATTGAGTGGTTTTATTATGTTCATAAAGTTATACAACCATCACAATCATCCAATTCCAGACCATTTTTATCACCCTAAAGAGAAACCCATATCAGTTAGCCATCACTGTCCAATCCCTTCAATTCTTCTATCTCTTGGCAAATACTGATTTGTTTTCTATATCTATGGATTTGCCTATTCTTGGATATTTCATACAAATGTAATTATGCAATATGTATAGTCTTTTGTATTTGGCTGCTTTCACTTAGGATATTTTCAAGGTTTATTTCAATTATAACATATATTAGTAATTCTTATTGTTAAATCCTTTGCTGTGTAGACAAACTACAGTTTGTATAGACTTCAATGGCAATTCGACTTAATTTTTTTTCAAATTTGTGCTGGTTCAAAAATCAGTGTATGCTGGGCATGATGGCACATGCCATTAATCTCAGCACTCTGGAGGCAGAGGCAGGCAGATCCCTTTGAGATCAAGACCAGCCTGGTCTACATAGTGAGTTCCAGGCTAGCTAGGGTTATAGGGAGACCCTGTCTCAAAACCAAAATTAAATCGGTTCACGTGCTGTTCAATAGGTTAGGTACAAGTGCATTGTCTGCTTCTGATATTGAGTTTGTCGGAACAACCACCAGCGGGAGAGAAGTAGCTCAGTGATAGAGCACTTGCTTAGCAGGGGTTCAGTCCTCAGCACCACAGGAAACAATAAGAGACATAACCAAACTGTAAGTCAAGAAACTCCAGCCTTCTTGACTTTGTCTTGTTTGGGTCTGTAAAATTCAGTCCTAGTCGATGGTCCACAGAAGTCTGAAGCCCCCAGTTCTAGGCTTTGCTTCAAGATGTACAGCATCAAGTAGCCACTCGCTAAGGCTTCCACATTACGAGGGACTTAAACCACTGCTGCAGCTTACTGCTCTGTTAACTTTATGTCCTTCCTATGACTCCTCTTTCCCCACTTCATTTTGTATATATTTCCCTTTGGTGCCATTTTTGTTTTTAATTTATTATTTTTATTTTATGTGTATGAGTGTATTGCCTACATGTATGTTAGTGCACCCATATCGTGCGATGCCCACAGAGGTCAGAAGACAGTGTCGGATCCCCTGGAGATTTATAGATCTCTGATCTATAGGTTCTTCTGATCCTCCTGCTTGTACTGTATGAGCGCTGGGATTACAGGCTTGACCCACCATGCCTGTTTTGTGCATATTGAACGTAGGACTTGATGCATACTAAGCAGTTCTCTGCCAGCTGAGCCACATACCCAGCCCTGCTTTTCTGGTTTTTGCCTTATTGATAGGTTGGTTTGTTTTTCCTTGTCTTTTTGAGGCTGTCTGACTTTGGGGCTCTGTCTGGCCTAGAACTCAATGTGTGGACCTGGCTGGACTCTTTACTTGCAGCAATCCTCATGCCACTGCTGCCTCCCAAATGCCAAGATACCAGGAGTGTGCCATGATGCCTAGCTTTTGGTCTGGTTTTGACTTACAGAATGTTCCAGAGTTGCTCTGAAACCTGAAATAAATCCCTTTCCTGCTGAGACTCCCCTGACGAAGATCAAAGTGGTTGAAGTCCTTACACTGAACCAGGATGTGGCTGGTCCTCGGAATGCCCTGATTCAAGCCTTCTATGATGAAAATGGAAAAGAAAACCTGGGCCCAGGCAATCTCACGGGGCCAGCTCAACAGCTGAGCAAGCATGTGGCTGACTCTGAAGCCGCTCACCGGAAGTTCCGACGTTTCCAGTATGAAGAGTCAACTGGTCCCCGAGAAGCTGTGGCCCAACTTCGTGAGCTGTGTTACCAGTGGCTGCAGCCCAGTGTACATTCAAAGGAGCAGATCATGGAGTTGCTGGTGCTTGAGCAGTTCCTAAATGCACTGCCTGAGAAATTCCAGTTGTGGGTGGAGTCACAGCACCCAGAAGATTGCCAGGCTGCAGTGGCCCTGGTGGAGGATATGACCTCAGTATCCAAGGAAGACGGTGAGTGCAGTGCAAAGGTGATGAAAGAGGCAGCTCTGTGCGGGCTTCCTGGAGGATCAAAGAGTTCTGGGAGTGAGTAGGGAAGGGATTGTCGCACTCCAGACCAAGAACATCTGTCTGTTCAACATGTTACCAAGTCAGAGCTAATGAAAACCTGAGGTAGTACCCAGCCCTGCGCTCCTGAATGCACCTTCCATGGGCTTTGATGAAAGGTCAGATGCAATGCTTTCATTTCATCCTGGGAATCCTGACGCACAGCCTTCCAGCTCTTTCTGGGTGCTGTGGATGGAGTGATGGCTAAACAGAACTCGGGAGTTTGCCAATCCTGCTGTCCCACAGGAAAGATAGGTTATGACAAGTGAAGGCACATGGGCAGTGCTAGAAGAGAGCAGGGTACTAGTGGGGTTTGTGGAAGCTACTTCTGCAATAGGCATTGACCAGATTAAGAAAGAAACCCAGATGATATGCCAAGGGCCATGAGCCAAGGATTTTTAGACAGTCTGTAGATCTGCCACACGCCGCTCAGCTGCCCTCTGTTTGCTTCATTCCCAGGCAGACCTCCAAGCATAGGGTTTCTGTTTCCTAAGTGTCCAGCAAAAGCTTCACTGGCTCCAAATGTCCGTGGTCTCCATTATGTCCACCACATATCCAGTTACTGTAGTCAGAAGGAATTGACAGTGCAGTGGTCCACCCTCCATCACATCATGTATTCTCAGTAGCTGGAGTAGAATGAACATTGTAGACGCCTACAGACAGTATAGAAACACATGAAGAAGGCCAGACTTGAAGGAGTCTTGGGGGAGGGGGTGGTAGGACTGAGCAAGGCTGTTTTCTAGGGTGATGGGTGCACAAAATGAATGTACAGCCTATGGCCAGGGGAAAACCCCTTTCTTCCCCAAGGCAGCAAGAGGGAATGGGGGGAGGGGGTGGCACATAAGCATGACAAAGGCTTGGAGCCTGGAAACAGACTTTGCCACTAAGGAGAAGGTGTGAGGCCATTGCCTCAGAGAAGCTATGGCCTGAAACAGACCCTGAAGAAAGGGGATATGAGTGAAAAGTCTCAGTGGAGAGACCAGTTCCTCAGTGGTCATACAGGGTAACACACTGGGCCCATCCAGGTATGGGAGTTGGTTACCCATTGTGCAGAGATCAACACTGGACACAAGGGGGCATGGATGTACACAGCTCATGTGTTGCAGGGACTAACTGTTTTGCCTGCCTAAGGGGTACCATGCCCACTGATCCTTCATGTGGTGTCTCCTCCAGCACTGCCTCCCTACTCCTCTGAAGCCACTAATCAACTGAAGGAAGAAAACGAAGACATGGCCATCTTGCCAGAGATTATACTCCCTGAGGTGAGTAAAGACCTTACCTTTGTTCATTTGGTCTCCTCATCCTCTGAGGGTCCCACCCCTGTGGTGCCCCCTTCTGTACTGAGCCTTGCTGAAGCTTCATGCAGGATGGGCCATTCTAACTTTCTGAGTTTTAGGACTGAGTGGAGCTCTGAAACAACACAAGTGCGAAGAGCATTCGTATCTCCAGACATTGTGGCCTGGGAATGGAGAAAACATAAAACAAGAGGGAGGGGACCAAAGGCTGACAGACTTGAGAAGCAGAGCAACCACAGGCAGACTGGGGTGACCACATTGTCCCCTGGTTAGAATGTGCGAGTGCTCATCCTTCAAAAACATTTGGGGAGTTATGAGTGAGACAGTACAGTCTCAGCTCTGTCTCAGAACAAACTAGGTGATGTGAATGAAGCAGAACCATCCCATCCTGCCAACATTTACGGTAGTGGTGTGCATAAGGCATTGGCCAGTGCTGTATGAACTGTAAATGGTTTATGCTGGCTCAAGTATATGATTACAGTTATTTGCTCCCTTGGGGCTGGAGAGATGGCTTAGCAGTCTAGAGCATTTGCTGCTCTTCCAGAGGACCAGGGTTCAATTCCCAGCACCCACATGGTGGCTAACAACCATCCATAACTCCAGTTCCAGAGGATCCGATACTTTCTTCTGGCCTCCACAGGCATTGACCTTATCTATATGTAGGCCAAGCATTCATACACATAAATTTAAAAATAAAGGGGCTGGAGAGATGGCTCAAGGGTTAAGAACACTGGTTGTTCTTGCAGAAGACGGGTTCAAATCCTAGCACCCACATGGCAGCTGACAACTGTCCATAACTCCAGTTCCAGGGGATTCAACGCCCTCTTCTGACCTACATGGACATTGCACAACATCGGTGTACTTACATACATGCAGGCAATACACTCAAACACAGGAAATAAAAATAATAAAATACATTTAACTGCTGAGTCATCTCTCCAGCCCCAATAATAATTTTTTAATTTAATAACCACATGATTAGAAGAAGCATTTCATTATAGCTTTAACATATTCAGTAAAAATTTCCAGAGCAAGAATATATCTCTTTCAAAAGTGGCTATAAATTTTTAGGTTCACAGTTGAATTTATACATTTATACAATCTTGAACTCAGTATAAACCCTGTAAAACATAAAATTGAATGAGTTTTTGACCTTTAAAAAAAGATCTCCATTTCCAAAGGTATAATTTGTCCAAGCCTACATTTTCCAAGTGTTTAACCACAAATTTTCTGTGTTCCTAAAATACTGTGATACCTCACTGAGCACTTAAAGAAATGCACTGAACATGAACTGAGACATCTTTACTCCTTAAATATAGGAAAAGAGGCTTCATAATCTGCAAGGTGAACAACTGAAGCCACTGACCCTATCGATCTTCTTTCTACAATTAAATCACTTAACCTCTAGAGAAGATCTCCAGGGGGCTGGAGAGATGGCTCAGTGGTTAAGAGCACTGACTGCTCTTGGAGAGGACCCGAGGTCAATTCCCAGCACCCACATGGCAGCTATGAACCGTCCTTAACTCCAGTTCCAGGGAAGTCAGAAGCCTTCTTCTGTCCTCTGCAGTATTGCACAACATGGGTGCACTCACATACGTGCAGGCAATACACTCATACACATGAAATAAAAATAGTAAATAAAATATTTTTTAAAAATGATCTCACCAGCACCTTTGATCCCAGCACTCGGGAGGCAGAGGCAGGAGGATCTCTGTGAGTTCGAGGCCAGCCTGGCTGGGGCTACAGGGAGATGTCTCAAAAAGACCAAAAAAACAAAAGATCTCCATTTCGTTTTAAAATATACTGTTTCTTGCAGAAAGACTCATTGTTTTTGCTAATAAAACTGAGATGTTGGCGCATGCATCTCTAATCTGTATCTGATTATTACTAGTCATAATCGGTTGCATTCGGATCCTTGGCACCTGTGTATGCCTATAAAGTCATTGGGTAGATTTCAGTGGTGATGTTTATCCTCTACTAATTAACATGACGTACCTTTTTATGCTTCCTCCTCAAATATAATTCTTTTTTTTTTAATGTGTTGATTATTTTGGTGTGTGTATATTATACAGAGCATCCCAAACCATCTTATTCATCTATACACCCACTTCCCAGATGAAACCCTCCCATAGCCTCCCTCCCCCAACTAGAGCCCTTATACTCTGTAATCCCTGCTGCTGTCCGCTGTGTTGTCAGCACCCCCAGCCGTTCCCCACTACTTGTCCATCTGGTGACTCTAGTCAGCCTATCTAGAGGTCTTTGTTTTAGGAAGGTCAGCTGTTCCTCATCTAGCAGCAACCAGTTGTCAATATTTCTTTAGATAAGATTGGGGTCTGCTGTTCATTTTCCCAGTTCTATGCTGGGTTACTATCTGGGAGTCCCTTGGGCCACCC